GAAAGGTGCAATCGGGCTACACGTGCATTATTATTAGTGATTTTATGGTTATATTTAGCATTGTTGTCTTTATTTATGTTAGGTTCATATATGTATGGTTGATGTATCGTATTAGTGGTTATTGGTAGTATTCTTTATTTTTAACGGTAAACAAACGGCACGATTCTGCGCAATAAGAGTTTGTTTAAAAAGCGTTCCAAAACGCATTTATCGTTTTTATGAATTCGCCAAGATTCGATTTTCGTTGGTTCGTTCTTGAAAAAGGGCATTAAAGATGTCCGAAAACGTTTGAAGTGTTATAATAAATTTGGCTGTATTATATAAGGTGTATGAGTAGTGTAAATATTGAAATTAGTTATGTTTTTAGCAATACTGATAGTGTTATTCTATACTTAATTGCCAACTTTCTATATATTTCTTAGACTTAAATTTAGTAAAATTTTTCATTACCTTTTCATTTTCTGCTGGTATTTCTGGATTTTTTGAAAGAACTTCTTCAGGTGTAGAAACTTCTTCTAGCAAGCATACTTTTTCATTTGAAATATACGGAGATGGTAAATTTAATTGTTGAGAATATTTTTCTACCCTATCAGTAAAATCACGGCTCTCTTCCATTAATTTTAAAGCTGGTATATCAATCACATTTCTGGTAAAAAGTTTAAAGATATGATATTTTTGTTACTTTATTTCAAATTATTATTAGATGTTATGAACTTTAAATTAAAATAAAATAAGATATTAAACTTATTGCTTATGCAAAAATATCATATTTCCAATTTAATTTAAAAAATTGAATAGAAAATAAGTTTTTTTTATTGTAATTTAATTGCATACATTATCTTAAAACATAAAAGCAAAACTGTTTTGTAATATAATATTTAAAACATTGGAAATTTCATAAGGTGTAATACCATTGCAATACAACAATACAGAAATAAACTTTGAGTCAGTGAATTACTCAACATTGATTTATACAGATACCAAAAAATATTTACCGGTATTTAAAAAAATGTTTTCAGATGCTGTTAAGCCATCTTAACAGCATCTGAAAACAGTCTAAACAAGTCAAACAAAATCAAAAGTTGTTTTTAACCAACATTCTACTGAGTATAGCATTCGAATACAAATTATAATTACTGTATATAATTTATAAAATGTAATAAAAATTATGAAAGTATAAAATTATTTTAAAAAGAAAGGAACATATAGGACAACGTGGTTTGCTACATAATCAACAGCTCCTTAGAAGCTTTTAATTCACTAAAATACATATCTATAGAAGATCATGGCTGTCTTATGGCATTCAATTATGAAAACTTCCTTACATAATAATTGAACTAGCAACATCATTAACCAGAGATTGTGTATATTATAACAGAAAAATGCAGTTATCTAAATTTAGAACTGTTACGAATTGTATTGACTTATTATTAAACGCCTACTTTGCTTGGAATAAATACTTCTATCGATAACAGAGTACCAATGGCCTGTCCAGTTTGCAGGAACACCAAAATAGCATGATATGAATGGAAGATCAATGCATCAAGAATTTTGACAATAATATCAAATTAATCCTAAGATAAAGATGATGTGTTAGTCGTATGGAAAGATTAGGGGTAGGAGGCCCGACTAACTATATATGAACTTCCGATGCAAACCGGAAATCGCGTTATTTAAATTCAAAAACTTCCCCTGAAAAGAGTTAGATAGATGACCGGCATAACTCTCTTGCTAACAGGAAAAGTATGATGTACAGGGGTAAGACACTAGCGTTAATTTGAGGTGGAGAGCATATATATTAAATTAAAAATTGTATTCTGGCACTGTGATGATGTCACAATAAATAATTACTCGTTTAATATTAAAAATTACATTCTATATAATTTGCATTTTAAAGAGGTTTTTGAAATATAATATTACTTGAATTATGTATATTATTTATACTGTGTAGTGTTTAAAGGAAAATATAAAATTTTCAAATTAATTATTCATTAAATAGAGCAACTTACTCTTCAACTCGTTTTAAAATGCTAGAAATGTTTTCATCCTCTGAATTGTTAGGAACTGCTACTGGATTGCTTTCAATAGTCCTAAAAGTAATAAATAAAATCAATATAAAAATAGTTGCAATCAAGATTTTTCTCTACAAACAATTTAACATTTAGAAGTAATTGGATAATTTGAAGTATAATTAATATAAATTAACAAAATTACTGATCTGCTAGAAAATTTAAGCAATATTAAATAATCTAATTTACCCATATTGCTTTTTATTTACATCATTAAATCTTGTACTGTCATCAACAGCATCATCTATCTGTAAAAATATTTTATTATGAGATGGTGGTTATAATTAGCATCATACTTTATTAAATTTTTTAATATTTTAGAGTTTTCTAATATAAATGTGAATATCTTTTACGTCTATTCATTGTAAAACTAAATTATATGAAAATAAATAAAGATTACAAAATTGCAAATCGTATTAAATAAGGCTCGTCATCAATTATAACATTTTTTATGTCTAAGAGTGACTTGCCAATATAGTCTAAACATGAATATAAATATTGCAATTCACTACGTAATTCAGATAAATCAAAAAATTTTCCATAAGATTTAGAGAAACGTACATAAAAACTGAATATTCTTTACTTTTTTTTTTATTTTTTACTTTTCTAAACCTTAAAACAACCCACTTAGTCAAATAGCTCCCTACCAGTGGCCAATGGATGGATAGAATCATTGGAAGCGTTATACGATATTTTGGTGTGTAGCATCTACCAGCTAAACCGCGAGAGGTTGGTGTTCTGTAAAGGGCTGCGCGAAAGCCTGCAATCTGGCTGCTTTGCACGATTCAAATATTTTCGCCGTGAAAACTGTCCTATATTCGAATATACAGTAGCAATCTTATCATTGTTTTTCACGTGTATAGAAATTTGTAATAAAATACATAATGCTGTTATAATAAAATATTAATTTTAATTAATTCAAAGTACGTTAAAAAATCGCACAATATGTATTTATATTTTAGAAAATACAAGGAAAGCGGCGCTTCCACAGCTTCCATGGACGGCACGCCACTGTCTAAGTAACACCTAAAGTAGGGCCCAATTTCCCATAAAAGTCTTCTTGGGATGCATCCCCCTAGGCAGAAAGCGCACATGTCGCGTTACCGTAACCAGACAAACCAAACTAATTCTAACAATCGATTATTGTGACATCGTCACAATGTTCTCAATTCTTTTAATGGTGTCTTGCCACTGTACAGTACATCATACTTTTCCTATTAGCAATAGAGTAGTGCCGGTTATCCATTAACGCCTTTCGAAGGAAAATTTTGAATTGAAGTAACGTGACTTTCGGTTCAAACCGGAAATTAGTATATAGTTAATCTGGGCCCTCTGTCCCTTAAGCTTTCCATATTTGGCCTAGGCTTTCATCTATCTAATTCCGTTCAAGATCAAGGAAGGACGATCAGACGGAGGATATTAGGAATTTATAGGTCTACAATTTTAACTTGCAGCTCAATAAAAGCAATTATTCTCGCATTTTTTATAAGATTTTTTTATTTAAACAAGTCGTATGAAGTCTTTCAGACGTTAAGTTTAGCAACTTTGATCACATGCGGGACCATCACAACCTATCCAACACGGATCACTTTTCAAATATTGTTATTAATAGTAGACCAATATTAATTAGTAGTTGTTGATCATCCTCTCTCCAAGGAGGGGGACTACTACTACTATTGATCGAATTAACTTCAACCTTTATCTAAACAGTTCTTCTTATCGGATCCATCGGTATGGTGGTATTCGAAATTATATAATACGATGTTACCAGCATGCACAAAACATGTTTTAAGTGGTTTTCGAGGGTATCGAGTTTAAATATTTGGTCCGTTTTTCGCGAAATTTGATTCGTTGTCGGATTACAGTTTGATATTCGGCTATAAATAGTATAATTTTTTAGAATTAACATTAAGAGAAAAAAACGATATGTTAAAAAATTTAAGATATCACATTTTCAATTGGTGTATACTTGACCAATGAAATTGTATCATTTCGTACCAACCAAGTGTCGCGATAAACGTGACAATGGTAGGCTGAAATAACCAACCTCTTTGTATGGTTTCCGTTTTAATGTTTATTACATTATAGTATTTGTGACTTATATAACTACAAATGTTATTTTAGGTAAGGGTTTATCATACCGAGTGACCAATCACATTTTAAAAATTCTTTATTTCTCTACTGTACATAATTTAAAAAATGTGTTAGATTGGACACTCGGCGCGATAAATCATCAAGTAAGATAACCTTTGTAGTTATATAAATCAAATACCATAATATAATATAAGGGTTAGAAGTACGAAATAATCTTAATCTTTGTTTTTGTTATATTTTGCCCAAGCAACGCCGAGCTCATCTGCTAGTTATTAAATAATAGCTTTTCTCTAAATAATAATTTAATAATTATTAAATAGGAGTATTATAATTGTATTTTCCATAAAATGGTTAGCATAAAAAAGAAATATGGTATATAAAAATTTAATAATAATTTATTTAACATCAATTTTTTTTAATATTTAAAGAAAAGAATAGAATAAATATAGAATGCAATCTGGAATGATTGTTGACTTAGTAATTTTTATGCTGTGTTTTTTTTAATTCAAAATAATTACTATATAAAACTAAAGATTTTGGATTGTTTAGGTTTATTTCATCTATATAAATAATACCTGTGGTGTTTTTAGAATACTCTGTAAATAATGCATGAAAAATCGAAATAAAATTTTATTAAATTTGAATGAATTCGGAATGATAATTTTAAAATTTTATATTAAGTTCTTGTAGATGTTTTAATAAACAATAATAATAAAAATACTTATTTTTATCATAATTATTATTTTCCAACAAATAATGAAAAAAAAAGTGTAACCTCTGAAACTCCAACCTAAAAATCTGCTTTATTGGCTCACAAGTTATATGGTTATTTTCTATTTACCAATGAGTGCATTAGCATGTCTGAATTTTACTTGGCCTTTATTAATTTAACTATATTTTGACTACTTTTGATTTTATAAATTGATCCAAATTTGAAGGTTTTGAATTAATTTTTAATTATTCTTTTGCTCAATTTACTTTATTGGAATTACAGTTAAAATGTCAGACGGTTTCTTTACACTAAAAAATATAGAAGAAACTAAGTCTTATTTAGTTTTATTATGTCTAGTACACTTTTAATTGTGTAAAAATACCATCTGACGTTTTAAATGTAATTTTAATTATGTACTTTTTTAATTATTGGCTTGACATCAGTGAACGTTTTAACTGTTTCACATAATATTGCCTCTAATAAAAGGTCGTCTCTGCTAAGGAAGACTTTTGTTTCTAGTGAATTGGATATGAAGGAACTGAAGATGATTTAGTTTCTTCTATATTTTTAATTTATTTTATTGGAGCTTTGTAGAATATTAATTAATATTGCAATCAACAATGATTTTTTATTAAATCAATAATGTTGTGCAAATTAAAATTAATAGAAAATTTTTTCTGATTTTTATTTTTACGAGTTGTAAGTAAATTAAAAAACTACTTTTAAACTAGAATTTAATTTTGTATATAATATAAGCTGTAAGTAGTATGTATCTTGTAAATATTTTAATTAAATATACTAATTAATATTGACTAACAGATTTCTCAGCTGATATGAAACATTTTGAATACAGAGAATTGCTTTATTATAATAAATCAGCCGTTATAATGATTGCATATTAAAAAAACATTTTAGTAATAGCCCTATGTCTTTCTCAATATAGATAACTGTACTAGAATATATGCAGTATAAAAGAATTTTAGCTACATACGCATTGAAATCAAGGAGTAATGCATATGGAGCGTAGAGAAGGTATGGAGAATGCATACCTTGTTTATCTGCTATTGGTGTAAGTGCTAAAATTGCATCTCATAAAGACTGATACCAGATAGCGCAGATTGATTAGAAATATTTTTTTATAAATTTTAATTAGTAATCGATATCTGTTAATCAGATTGTGATAATTTATATAGATCTTAGATATTTTTATTTTATGAATACAGAATTTTTACCAAATAAGATAAGAGTTGTCTGTATTTCAAATCAGTTTGGTTGGATTTCAGATCCTTTAACCAACTGTCAAAATGCATTATTTAAGAATTACGAAAATTTTAATATGAATAATTTTCTATTGTGATATTAGAAAAGAATAAAAAAGTTATATGAGCTTTTTAAATTTATTTGCACTAATTTAATTTTGATTTAAAAATCGTTGGGTTAAAACTTCCAGAAAAGTTGTGAATCTATTATTCTGGATGATAGCATAGGATTATCATGATTATTATTTGCAAGATTATTAACAAAAGACATTAAAAATATACAGGAATATTTCTATATTTAATAAATAGAGTTGAATAACCTTATTAGGGAAAAATTTTATTGAACATAAAGTAAAATTTAAAGGAGACAAATCATTCCAACTTGTTAGAAGCTGCAATGACAATTTTATTCATAATGTCAAATTAAATATTTTACTTGTAACAGTAATTGACTTGTATTTTTATTGTCGATGAATATATTAAATTAAATATAAAATGTATCATTTAAAAAAAATTTAATCGTAATGAACGATATACTTATGTTACAAAGAATACCTGGTCCGTTTCCTCGTCTTTGGAACAGCAAGATCCCATTTTGTGTGTAATCTTTGATCAGCTGACGCATGCGATAAGTTATCGAAATAGCTTTTGCGTGTTGCAATAATAGTTACTTTTTCAAATATAATCAAAGGTGATTCATTATCCAAAACAATAGTTCCTTGACAAGATCTGTCATAGATTTTGCAAATGTATACAGTAAAGCGACAATTAATAAACCTGCTTGTCTTATAATAATTTATTCAAATAGAAAATGAATATTGAATATTAATTGGATATACACTATATACTTTATCGCTTTTAAAATTTTTAAACTTAGATTCAATTGATTATTGGTTTTAGATAAAAGATAAAATGACACAAAGAAAAAATTCATTTAAACTGAAAATTAACAGCTCAGAGTTATGTTATGTTCGTTTAAAATGTTACGATTTGACAGTTCGATTCTTCAGTATAGTCTTGAATTTTTGATGTAAAAACTTTTCTATACTAGCTCAAAAATCTGTGTAAAACAAAACACCGTATCTTCATTGGTTAAAGCGATCAGATGGGATAGTCCCGATTTTTAAACTGTTTGAAAATATCCAGGTTTTGGACAGTTTTATAATTTTATTCAAAAATTGTAAGTCAAATCATTTTAATATCCAGTTATGTAAAAAGAATATACTGTAACTAGTAGCCTGGGCGCCCCCTAGTGGGCGTTATTTACAAATTTCCATGAGGCACGGTTCCTTTGACTTTTTTGTTCCTATCAATATGCTGTACAGCTCTATTAAAGTCCCAATGGTAAGATTTACCCTCCGAATGATGAGGTGGCGACCCCCCAAACTGTAGCCCCTGTGCGAACAAAGTCAAAGGAACCATACCCCTACTCGCGACCCTTCGCTAGATATAAGCCCCTGAAATAATAAATTCCTATTACAAATATACTGAATTATTTATATTGTTATATTGACCAAATAATTATGAGCCAAATGAATAATAATAATTTATATTGTTAATTTAAATAATAATTAAAATTGTTAATTTGAATGTTTGAAATATGACACACGATAGGGGCGCCTCTAGTGTCCGTTATCAANCACAAAGCCTTAAACCTTTATACATATTTTATTTTTTAATAGAAAGGAAATATTTTCAAATACTTGAAATGTGTGAATGAGGAAGGAATACTAAATAAAGCTGAAGTCGTGACTCAAAGGAATATAGCCCCAAATTCGGAAAAAGAAGAGAGAGGCAAAAAAAAAAAAAAAAGAATTGAGAAAGGTTGGAAAATTAAGGATCAATATTTGCATAACAGAAGGTCTATTTAACCTTTTCACTTTTTTATTTTTTGACCTTTTTGTCCTTTCTCCGAATTTAGGTCTATAATCTTTTGAATACCAACTCCAGCATTATTTAATATTCCTTTCAGCGTTGCAAGATTTGGCAACTTTGCGCCAAATTTGGCTATCCTTTTTTTAGTTTGACGTAAAAAATATCATTTGGCGCATTGGCTACATTTTGGGCTACATATTATTTATAAATATATTTGTTGAATAAAAATGTTACTTTAAAATTATGTTTCGTTGTTTTTTTTTATTAATTGAAGACCCAAATAAAACAAATATTTGTGTTTTTCAAATAAATTTTTGTTTTTCTCCTTTATAATAAATAAATTTATCTATTTCTAAGTAGAAATTAAAAGTGTCTGTAGAAGTAATTTTTTAAAATATCCTTTTTCATGATAAAGTTTTAATACTTATTACTATAATCTAGACATGTAAATCCTTTAATATACTAGTATATTTAAGCATTTGGCCACAATAAACTTGTGGCCCAGAACTCCATGACTTCTTCCAATGTGGCCCAAAGAAACAAAGGTTGGACACCCCTGATGTAGAATCACTACATTTCTTCTTGTACCACCAGTTACACAACACCTATATACAGGTATCCCTCATACAACATGATACTTCTACAACATGGTTTGGAAATTGGGATATCCCCTGTATAACAGTTTCTGGTTTCTTTCTATTATAATTTGAGAAATTTTCTGTACAAAATTTCACAATTTTTAAGTGCAAACTCTGTTGTTCAGTATTTTTACAGTACTTATAATTGTGACTGTTTGTTAATTATTGATTGCTTTGATAAGTGTATTTCTCTTAGTAATGAAAAAGAATAGTGTACTTTTGTTAACTTTTGGAACCTAACCCCATATTTTCCGTTAGTCCTTTGTTTCGTGTAGCACAGATTCGCATAACACAGCATATTTTTGGAATATAACTATTGTGTTATACAAGGGATACCTGTATATATAAAAAAATTTTATTTCAAAATAATATACAGATTTTTTTGTATATACAATTATAGAATATTTAAAACCATCTGTGCTGACATTTTTTTAATTAGAGACTGATTTATATATATATATATATAGCATACGACCGAGAACTTCTGGCTG